TTTCATTTCATTGAATAGTAACTTTTTATTACGTATTGGACAGTATTGATGCACTGTAGAGGTGCTATTTAAAAAAAAAAAAAAAAAAAAAACTTCTCTGTAGAATATTTCATCCCCGGGGGGGATGGCCATGCCGTAATCCCTTCCCTTCCACTTTCCTCTCAGGATCCTGGGCACACACGCACACGCACCCAGTGTGAGTTTTTTAAGCCACTGGGTTCCAGATGTGAACCGCAGTCGACTACGTGGGAGTCCAGCAGCATAGCCTTTACGCTAACTGCTGATCCCCCCCCAGGTTATTGATGAGTTGTCTTTGCTCTCGCTGGGTTGGACTGCTTCCCTATACTGCTTGACCTCTCGTGTTGCTCTTTTATCTTAACCATATTGCAGACACTCTGTGTACCTTATGGAGTTACAGCGTGTTTGACTAAAGCTCTCAGAAAGCCCTCTGTGTTCCCCTTTCAGCATAGCATCATCCTCCCTGGTGCTCTGATCTGTCTGCCAACCCTGTTCTGCTTGGTCTCCAGCTTGCTGTAGTACAATCAGAAACTTGTCCCAAGGTAGAGAACCAAAGAGATCGTGGGTCATAGTCTTGCTATTATCCAGTATGTGAAACAGTTTTATTATTTTGTTTAGTTTAATAATTGTTTATGAGAGCAAAAATACTCTGGTACCAGTTACTCTGTCTCATTGGAAGCAAAAGTCTCCCAGAGCACTTTTGTATGTGCTGAACTTTAGGCATGGCTTGAAAGGGAAAAGTATATCTTAGTCTCTCTTATTGGAACTAAACAGAGTAAAATGAGCTTATGGTGTTCATGAACTGAATCATTTCTCTCATCTTCCTGCCTCCCATCCTGTCATCCATTCACTTCTCTCTTCACAAGGGAGACAAGGTAAGTGGAGGGAGGAGAAAGACCTTAGATTAATCTTGTATCCAGAGTCATGCTTTGGGTCTTCCATCTGGAGAATTAAAGGTGGTCTGTGAAAAAGTACTATATACTTGGGGTAAAACACTAATGCAGGCAGGGCATCCTGTGTTTATGTTTTATGTCATCGCTTATACTTGAGGTGTAAACAGACATTGTGTGTGTGTGTGTGTGTGTGTGTGTGTGTGTGTATTCAGAATATGGCCCTATCAGTGGCTGGCCTTCAGATTTGTGTGAGACAATGATTTCTCTAAACTTGTAAGTTAACAAAGCACTGTGATTAACAGGAAGTGGTTTTCTTTGAGCATGGGTTGGGAGGCTGGGAAATGTTTTATCTGATTAGAACTATACAGAAAAAATAATACATTTGTATTCTAAGTTCTACTCTTATTTTCTTTTTCTGTTAAGCCTAAAGTTCTTAAAAATAAAATATTCTTGATGGAAGAAGATACTCATTAAAGAAATATTTTGACAGTTAGCCATCACTTCAAAGTCTAATGATGCTTCCATTTGGAAATGACCTAGAAGATATAAATGTGTCTCACACTTGGAGCTTTAGTGCTAGAAATTAATACGGATGTTCCTCTACTTATAATGGGTTTATGTCCTAAGCTAAAAATAAGATGACATTAAGCCAAAAGCGTATCTAATGCACCTAACCTACCAAATACCGTAGCTTAGCCTAGCCTACCTTACATGTGCCCCGAACACTTAAATTAGCTTACAGTTGGGCACAATCATCTAATGCTGAGCCAATTTTATCATAAAGTGTTGAATATCTTGTTTACACAGCGGTTTGCCAAGGTGGAAGAAGATCAAAATTCAGAATTTGAAATTATGGTTTCTACTAAATGTGTGTTGCTTTCACACCATCATAAAGTTGAAAAATCTAAGTCAAACTATCTAAGTCAGGGACTATCTGAATGTCACAGGATCCTCAGAAGAAAAACAATGCTTTATTGCTAGGGCCTAAGTTGAATATAGCAAGCCTTGCACCTGCCCAAGAAGACTTATTAAACCTTTTTTTAAAAAGTTGTTTTGGCTGTTGATTTGAAAATATATCTCATTTCATCTAATTTTCTTAGAAAATGCGATAGCTTAAAGTCTGTGAGATGACATTTGCTCTTTTTAATTCGAGTTGCTCATCCTGTTTGTCAAGCGTTCCTTTCTGTCCTGTCTTCTGTATTTACTTCTCACATGATCACTGTCTCTCCAGTACCCTCTACACTATACCCTTGGCTTCTCACCACATCCTTTCTAAATAGTTACCTTGGGGTAACTACTTCCTTCTCCTTTAAAAATGTTTTAATTTATTTTTATATTTTTAATTGTGATAAAATGCACATAATATACTTTGTTTTCTTTTAGACCTGTCTGGTAAGCACTGCTAAAGATATCTGTAAAGACTGCATATTCCAATAGGCTTTCTGAACTTCTCTGCCTTACTTTGTTTTAGGGTCCCCACTCCTTGGTCTGCCCCATGAATCTGACCTTTATTATTCTCCTCAAGTTCCCTGTGTTTTTCCTCCCCTACAATGACCTTGGCTCTGGGCAGCCTTGCTTCTCTGTCACAGAGAACATGAAGGCTTTCTGCTGTGCATGCTCAAAGACATGCCATTTCACTGTCTTTATCTCCTGTCTTTCAGTCTGGGAGTAAAACAGTGCCTACTTTTCATAAAGGTAATCCCTCTCTTGGGGTTCTTATGATTGCACCATATCTTTCTAGGATGTTATACCAGCATTTCCCCTTTTCTGTTCCCTCACCTCTACATTTTTGTCTTTCTTTACACCCCCTTGCCCCAGAACACATGCTTGAGTTGTCGCCATCTTAAGCACAAACAAAAACTAAAAGCATTTAATTCTTCTCTATAGCATATTTTCTTTAATTTTTTGTTTAAGAGAGATTTTTGCTAGAGGGCATGTGCGCTCGCCAGAGAGAACAGAGAGACAGAGAGACAGAGAGACAGAAAAAGAGAAGTCACCTCCCCAGAAGATGGCCACGCTGCAGTACCTTCCCCTCCATTCTCCTCTTGGCATTTTTGGGCATGCATGCACACATGCCTGGCCTGAGATTTAAGCTGCCAGGTCTGGAACTTGTGCCACAGTCGACTATGTGGGAATCTAGCGACATCATAACCATTATGCCAACTGCTGGTCCTTTTTCTTTAATTTTGATGCTATATATTTCCTCAATAGAGAGCTGTGGATCTTAGAAAAATAGTCTACTTCCCTTGCTTTCTTTTGCCTTCCATACTTTTCTTTGTGCCACTGGAAATCAGGCTTCTACTTCTAGTACTCCTCTGAAAGCACCCATAAAAGCCACGATTCCCTGGTTGCCAGATATGTAGGGGCGTCTCTAGGCTGTGTTTTGTTTGACCTTCCTGGGCACTTAATTCTAATCTATCTTTTCTTCCAGAAGCCCTTTTTATTTTTATCTTTATTTTTATTTTTATTTTATTTTTCTTTTTGGTTTCTGTGACTGCTCTCCTGGTTTCCCTACCTCAAGTCCTTTCCTTCTCTCTCCATTGCTGCCCCTCTTTCTTAGCCTGCTTCTAAAAGGCTCATGCTCCCTGACCCTTATCTCCCAGTAGTTTCACACATCTGCATGATTTTAATGATTATTTTTGAAATCTGAATTCCGGATCTTCCAGAGTCCTCTGTTGAGCTCCAGTCCCACATAACTAATCCTTTCAATAGTCCTACAAAGTAGCAATGTTTCCTACATTTATAGATAAGGAAGTTGAGGCTAAGAGAGGTAACCTCTTTGAGATCAAGCAGCCCAGGAAAAAGTCAAGATTTTGAACCTCTGCCTAAAAACAGACCTTTATACTATGCTATTAATCAAATATTTTCACTTGGCCACTTGACAGATATATATAATATATTATATCCCATCCTGAATGCCATCCCATAATTCTGTTCTCACTCCTTTCTGGCCTGACAGAGAGAATATGGAAATCTATATTCTCAATTTCAGTGAATGACATTCCTTCAGATTATTCAAATCAGAATGTGTATAGGGGATTGGCATTGGCTTCCCTGCCTCGCTGCACCTTCTGGGTCCATCTGCCAAACGGAGCGTCTGTCCCTGTGCCTCCTGCCTCTTTAACCCTTTTATTGCTCCTGTCTTATTTGAGAACTTACCTTGACCTGGGTAATTGCCATCAGTTTGGAAGGGCCAGAGTATACCCAGGGGTGGGCTTGGTTAATGCTGGTCGAGATGTCACCATGGAGCAGCTTAGACCAGTGCCTCTCAGAGTTAAGTGCACATAAATCACCTGAGGATTTGTTGAAATTCATGCTCAGGGAGGGAATGTGAGTGAGCCTGCTTTTCTAACAAGCTGAAGTATGATCCCGATGTCTGCGCATGACCACACTTTAAGTAGCAGAATTGTCAAGTATATCCTAATGTTTATCAGTATTTTGTTCCATAGGTTATGAGTTGCTATGTTTAGTTACTCATCATGGAATAGCACAAAATATGTGACGTTTCTGTCAAGCTAGATATAAGTAGTTTTATGTAGGCTTTGTTCTGCTGATGGTAAAAGATTACTTTCAGGCACAAGATAAGTAATTTAGCTGTAAGTTCTCATTATTTATTCAGTTTGTTTGAGTGGAGGATACAGTATAATAGAAGCCTAAAACTTGGAATCAGATTTTTAGACCTGGACTCCAATATCAGTTTTTCACTAAATATTGGTATGACTTTGTGAAGATAAATGAACCTTTCTATTTTTCTGTTTCCTTGTGTCTGAAGTAGTCAGAACACTTGCCGTTTTATACAGTTGCTGCGAGGTTAGAAATGACGTGCCTAGGCCCAGCCAGGAGGGCACACAGTGCTTTCCAGCCTGGGACCACAGAGGTCTGAGTCCAAACTAAAGACTGTGGCTGTTTTAATGGATGACTCAGTAATGTCAGAAACATCTATTTAATTCAGTAGCCCTGAGATGGAAATAAGTCTTAGTAATTAAGGAAAAAAAATCCTTAGAATGTATTTCTCGCTAGAAGACATTTTATTGTAAGCTTTTTTCCCCCTCCCTAACTCTGCCTTGTTCTTATGTTTTGGTTTTTTAGATCGGCTCCAACTCCCCAGGAATATGATTGAAAACAGCATGTTTGAGGAAGAACCAGATGTGGTGGATTTAGCCAAAGAGCCTTGTTTACATCCTCTAGAGCCTGATGAAGTGGAATATGAACCCCGGGGTTCCCGGTTGCTAGTACGGGGTCTTGGTGAGCATGAGATGGATGAGGATGAGGAAGACTATGAGTCATCTGCAAAGCTGCTGGGCATGTCCTTCATGAACAGAAGCTCAGGCCTTCGGAACAGTGCAGCTGGCTACAGGCAGAGCCCAGACGGGGCTTGCTCAGTCCCCTCTGCAAGGACCATGGTGGTCTGTGTTTTCATCATTGTGATTGCCATTTCTGTAATCATGGTGATTTACCTACTGCCCAGATGTACCTTTACCAAAGAAGGCTGCCATAAAAAAAACCAGTCGCTGGGACTAATTCAGCCACTTGCAACAAACGGGAAGTTGTTTCCATGGGCACAAGTCAGGCTTCCCACTGCCATTATGCCATTACGTTATGAACTGAACCTACACCCAAACCTAACCTCAATGACATTCACGGGTTCAGTAGCAATTTCCATTCAGGCTGTTCAAGCCACATGGAATGTCATTCTTCATAGCACAGGTCATAATATTTCAAGAGTGACCTTTATGTCAGCAGTTTCAAACCAAGAAAAAAATGTTGAGATCCTGGAATATCCATTCCATGAACAGATAGCCATTGTTGCCCCTGAAGCCCTTCTAGCAGGACACAATTATACCTTGAAGATAGAGTATTCGGCAAATATATCCAGCTCCTACTATGGGTTTTACGGCATCTCCTACACAAATGAAAGTAATGAGAAAAAGTATGTAGCTCTCTTAAATAATTCTGATTCTATGCTCTATGACTTCTGCAATGTGGATCCACTTGTCTACACCAGACACTAACTGCAATTATTTATTTTAAATTTAAGGAGTGGTGTACAAAAATAGAATGGTGACTTGGAAGAATACAGTTTCTCTTAGTCAAAGCCTTGAGTATATGGCATGGTGGGGTGAGGTGGGTGTGGGCTGGTACAGGGAGGTGGACGGAAGTTTTATCAGTTATAATCTATCACAAAAACTTGAGTTATCTTAAGTTTCTTATATATTATATGATGAATTTAGTTTTCTGTCACCTTGCAAACTCCCTGTGGGAAGCAAAGAGAAGCGCTGATTATTCTATAAGATCTATTTTCCTGATATGCAGAACTTTCTGTAGGTATTTAGTGAGATGGAAAAGAAAGGCTTGAAGAAATCTGGTGTGCTTATACATAACATCATCTGTCCTAAACCTTTACTATTTTTGTTTTCATTTTTTAATGCTAGTCTGACTATTTGGGGTTTTTTTGTTTTTTGTTTTGGAGAGATTTTCACTGTAGGGCGCGTGCACTCGCCAGACAGACAGAGAGAGACATAGAGACAGAAAGCGAGAAATCACCCCCCAGGGGGGATGGTCACGCCGCAATCCCTTCTCCTCCATTCTCCTCTCGGGATCTTGGGCACGCACGCACACGCGCCCGGCGTGAGTTTTAAGCCACCGGGTCCGGGACACGAACCGCGGTCGACTACATGGGAGTCCAGCGACATAGCCATTACGCTAACTGCTGGTTCCCAACTATTTGGGATTTTTTGATGAGGAAAGAAAAAAATTCTAGGAGAGACTTAATTTGCTTGAAAAAAGAAAAAAGGTCAGACAAAATAAGTGTTGGGCTTGGGACCAGCAGTTGGCATAATGGCTATGTCACTGCACTGCCAAGTAGTCGACTGCGGTTCAAGTCCCGGACCTGGTGGTTTAAACTCATGGCAGGTGCATGTGCATGCGTGCCCAAGATCCTGAGAGGAGAATGGAGGAGAAGGGATTGTGACGTGACCATCCTCCCTGAGGGATGATTTCTCGCTTTCTGACTCTCTGTTCCTCTCTGTCTTTCTGGCGAGTACATGTACCCTATAACAAAAAAAAAAAAAAAAGGGAAGTGTTGGGCTCCCTTGTTTGGACTATATGTTTTGCATGTCTGCTTACAGGTTTTTCTTAAGCAGCAAGAATGTCACTTCTATGTGTACCAAGTCTTCATTACATCTGCTTTATTCACTGGAGCGTGCTCCCATAGTACTCTATAAGCCAGGCTGTGAATCACTGATGCTAGGTATTTGGCCAACATGTGTTGATATATTTTATATTAAGAGAAATAGTTAGGCACAAATAGTTTACATCTTAGAGAAATTTCCTGATCCTTCTTTTATGGAGAAAGAGACAAAGCAAGATCTGTAGTTCTGTTCAGATAAGTAGTTCTCATCTTTGCCCTTTGTTTAATACTTTTAAAATGAATGGCATTCTGGCTCTACATTTCAATTCTAGTATGTGATCTGGCATTGAACACAAATTTACAATTGCAGTGGCAGCTTGGGGTTCCTTAGTTCTAGTCCTTCTATGATTTTTTAGCATCCTTAGGAAATATAAGATTTAAAAAACATTTTTAAAAATTTTTTAGAATGCCAACAGTCCTTTAAGTTAAGTCCTGTTGCCATCTCTTCTGATCAGATAATTGCTTCTGGAATCCTTGGGCCTGTTGCTATAAAGTAGGAGGAATAAATGTGTAGCAGAGTTAGGTATAGTCACTTGTTGACTCTTCCCATGAACTGGTCTGAGGTGGAAAATGATTGGAAAGTGGACTATGGTTCCTTAAAATAAAGAAAGTAAATGTTTAAAAATAGTTTTCTTAAGTCCATTGAGATAAATTAATCTAGGAACCACTATTACAAACAAGAAAAGTCCATTAACCTGTTTTAATAAAATGAATGCCCCAAATAATTACATATCTTCATGCAAGATAAATGTTTAGAAGATATATTTATAGCTTTTAGGATGACTGAAACTGTTATTCAAAGTAATTTTTTTCCTCTTTCTCTTTTAATTTTACTTATTTCTGTTAAAAAAAAACTTTCATGCATTTTTTTTTCTCTGAGGAATAGTTACAGTAAGCATTTGAGCATTTGAGCTGATAGGTAAAGTAATTCAGGGGTATTTTCCTTGTCGAGTGGAAAAATCAGAGTGTATGTAATGTCAGGCACCTTGCATAGACACTGACCGGCAAGAGAGCTTCGCCTGTGTGATCGAAGAGGGGAGATAGCAGCAACCTTGCGTTAAACTCGAAGTTGTTGAAATTTAGGGTGTAATAGAAGTTGGGTATATGTCTCTAAAGTCCGATAATAATGATAGCCAGTATTTACTGGGTATTAAAGTGCTAGGAAGTGTTCTAAGCCTTTTGTATATTTAGACTTTTATCCTGTCAGACCCACTAAGAAGCAGATATTAGTATCTGTTTCCAACTGAGGAGGCAAAGGCACAGTGAGCAGCTCATCTACTATCTCATAGCCAGTGAGGAGCAGAGGGGGAAACTCATTCCAATTAGAGTCCACGTTCTTTTCTTTTTTAAAAGGATTTTATTATAGGGCATGTGCACTTACTGAAGAGAGACAGTGTGATGGTAAGTGAGAAAATCACTTCCCAGTGAGGATGGCCATGCCACAATCCTTTCGCCTCCATTCTCCTCCTGGGATTTTTTTTTTTGGTATGCACATACACGTGCCTTAAGTCATTTTCAAGCTGCCATGTCCAGGACTCAAACTGTGGTCATCCATGTGGGAGTTCAGCACCTTAACCACCGCTCCATCTGCTGGCCCTTAGAATCCACATTCTTAACCACTATTGTGCACTGCCCTCCTAGTTCACACTTCTTTTCTTTTGTACATTGTTATCCCTGGTTCTTAGAATTCTCTTACCTGACCTCCTGCTAATTCATGATTGTCTTGAGGAAGTGTTGAAACTGCAACTAGCATTTCTGCAAACACACACGTATAGTCACCAATGAAAGAATAAGCTTCAAGGTATTCAGCATAGATAGGACAGATTATAAGTATCACCAAACTGTAGCCTTGTCAGTGAAACTTTTATACAAGATAGTTATTGCAGCTATTTTATTTTAAACTGTCAGAGGGTACATGTGCTGGCTAGAGAGAGAGAGGGAGAGAGAGAGAAAGCACCCCTCAATGGAGCATGTCATGCTTCAATCCCTTCTCCTATATCCCAGCCTGTTGGGATTTGGGGACTGCAAACACACCCACCTGGCACATTTTTCAAGCTGCCAGGGCCAGGCAGGATTCAAATCATGGTTGGCCATGTGGTATTCACCACGCTTAACCACTAAACTACAGGGCCGGTCCTATTGCATCTCTTGTAACAATAATTTAAGGTTTTATTTCCCTTAGAATGTTACAATCTAATTTTTATCTAAAAGTGATGAGCCAGGCAGGCTTTCTTGTGTGAATAGTAGGGATATCATCAAGATTTATCTCCTAGTCTCTTGTGACTCCTCTGAAGTCTCCTGTTAACTGGGTAAGAATGTTAGGTAGGGGTTGGGTTAAGAAGTGGAGTGTTAGATGGGAACCAGCAGTTAGCGTAATGGCTATGTCGCTGGATTCCCACGTAGTTGACCGCGGTTCGCGTCCTGGACCCGGTGGCTTAAAACTCACACCAGGCGCGTGTGCGTGCGTGCCCAAGATCTCGAGAGAAGAATGGAGGAGAAGGGATTGCAGCGTGACCATCCCCCCGGGGGGTGATTTCTCGCTTTCTGTCTCTATGTCTCTGTCTGTCTGGCAAGTGCACGCGCCCTATAGCGAAAACCTCTCCAAAAAAAAAAAAAAAAGAAGTGGAGTGTTAGAAACAGTATGTTTAAATTATTTCATGTGTGTTGATTACTACCTTTCTTATGGTTTACCCCAATAGAAACAGTTACTGGAATACATCCTTACCGGGAAAACAGTACTATCGTTTTAACTGTGGAAGAAGCTTTGTGGCCATCTAAGGTTTATAATAAACATCCATATAGGGGTTTATGGTATACAAGTATGTTTTATTATAAATAGCCTTCTTTGTTTCTAACAAAAGCCAAGAGTATTTGGCAGGGGGTCCTTTCTCAACCCTGATTTAACAATTGAAGAAATTGAGAAATGAATCACTGATTTGCCCAAAGTTATATGGCTGGTAAATTGTAGAGTTTGGGGTTTCCAACTCCAAATCCCATGCCCTTTTTTCTACTATTTTCTGTCAGTAGAAACTAAGCCCTAAACAAGAAAAGATATTATGTCCAAAAGGATAAGTTGGGGGTCAGCAGATGGTGTGTTGGTTAAGGTGCTGAACTCCCACATGGCTGTGATTCAAGTCTTGGACCTGGCAGCTTGAAAGTCATGTATGTACACATGCCCAGAATCCCAGGAGGAGAATGGAGGTGATTTCTTCCTTCTCTCACTCTCTCACTCTCTCTCTCTTTCACACACACACACTCTGGCCAAGTGTACATGCCCCATGGTGAAAACCTTAGAAACAAAACCAACAAACAAACACCAAAGTGGAAAGTTGTGTATGTGCTGTATTGACTGGTACCTGCAATTTGCACAGGAGGGCCACGTTGCCATGATTGCTCTATGGCCATGTTTGGAAGATCTCCCCGATGTCAATCTCCTTTATTCCTCTACTTAATTGAAAATCTGCATTTTTCTCCTTTTATGCTTTTCCTCAACTTGTAACAGGATGTTTACATGCATTGTATTCTCAGCTACCGCTGCTGTGCTATAGGAGGGGGAGGAGAATTTCTGAATCATCTCTGAAGAAAATAAAGGAAACCAGAATTCTTGAGGACACCTAGTTTTTTCAGTCGTTCTGAAAGTGCAAGTTGTGAATCTGAGTTTTAGCGTTGTGAAACCAGACATCTGCACAGATGATTGGTGGGAATTAAGGACCCCCTGCTGGCTGATCTTCCAAGAGGAACGTTTTCAAGACCTCAGTGGCCAGCAGCCTATAGTAGCCTAGCTGGCTGCCGCATCTGCAGTCACGTGGACAGCTGCTCTCAGTCCCTGGACACACGCTGTTCTCTCCTCTTATTAAT